AAGTGAAAAGAAATTGGATATATAAATAGGAAAGTAATTTCTACACTTCTACACAACGCCATCAATAGAAGAACAAAATGTCTAAAAGACCATAGCAAGGATAAATGTAGATGCTAAAGGGTTTACTCTAGAGCAAAGAAAATACAAGTGGCGCTAAAGAAGTTTTAGAGACAACTGTAAATAAAAGAAGATGAACAAGAAAATACAATATGAAGTTCTCTCGTCATAGACCTGCCTTGAGAAGATTGAAACGTCAATATAACATTATCTTTTCAATTGTTAAACTAAGAAGATCTCACTGGAGTTCTTCTTAGGAATCGATCTCAAATATTGTCAATTTAGCTTATAGGAATCCTTATGAATTTCTGATTGCTGAATAAAACAGAGTTAAAAAAAACTGCCTTAGGACAGAGCAACTGTCTAATAACAAAATCGATGTCCCCATTTATATTGATTATACTAGCAGATCTTCTCATGAATAGTTATCACTTCAACAAACAAAAATTCATTGTATCATTTCATTACTAGCTCTAGGTCCATTAATTTAACCTCGTACCGAATACATGGTTATTGTAAAGCGTCTAATCGCGTATGTGACGGATCCTCACGATTATTTACTGGTCAGAATTTCAGTTCGCTCGTGCGAATAAATCGAACGATTGCGATACAGGTCTTTGCGTATCGGTTATCTAATATTCTCTATTCCTGAGCTTATACACGGATGCTTGAATTGATCGAATGTTGTTACATAATATTGAAACATGTTGATTTACGGTAGTCTATAAATATTTGAAAATACTGATCAATTGGCGATCCCATCTAATACGTTGTAATAGATAGGTATACCCATGATACATTTACGGTTCGATTTTTAATGAGAAATGTGGGCTTTGGGATTCGAAATCTGCTTAGATAAATTAGAATATTGCAAATAGGAATATCGCAAATTATTAATTTTTATTTTTACTGCTATTTTTATAATAAGGAAAGATAAAATCAAAAAATTTGAAATAGTTAACAGACGCGTTCAAAATTGACACAACGTTATGCTAATCCGAGATAATTGCTATTTAATGGTACATCAAAAATATTTTTTTAAAAATATTTTTTTAATCAGGATTATTGATTTTTAGTAATTTTTTTTTTATAATTCGATTATGTTACAATATATATTTATCAATTTTTTCGCTTAAAGCCTTTTATAAAATTCAGTTCAATTTTCTTCACAATTAAGTTAGTAAAAATTATCACTTGTTTCAACCAGTCATAAAGTTTGCTTCCATATTTTTGCCAAATTTTCGTACGATTAAAATTATCGAGTAAAATTGATAGATGAAATTGAAATGATTGATGTAGTAATCTATTTAAACTCGCTTTTAGAATCTTGCATTTAAAAACTGTTTCATTCATTCAGAAATTTCTGATGAAACAAGGTTATCTCTGTGAAAATTATAACACAATTTATTTGAAAAACAGCTAAAACATGTTTCTACAATGATGAATTAGCTGAAAGTTTACTGAACAAGTCAAATAATTACTTGTTTCACATGTACTATTTTTTGTGATGTATTAGGTTTGGTATTCACAAATATAATTGCTCAAAATTAAATTGGATCTTTGTGCTCCGTCCTATCCTATATCATGGGTAGTTGTAGTTTTATTTCCAAGTAGGTGCAAAGATTACATTTAATTTCATCCTATACTTTTCTAAAATCTCGGACAATTCGGGACAAAAGATTGAATTCGTTTAGAAAAACCCGGGGCACAAGGTAGAAATCCGAGATAGCTCCGGCCAAATCGAATCGTATGGTCAACCTTAATAAAATGCATAAAAAATGTTTCATAGTACATGCGGATTTATATCAAAACTTGTATATAAAACACAAGTTAATATACTGGTCGTTAATTATACAAAATTAATCATAAGTTGTTACTCAATTGTTCATTTGTTGGGTTAGGTGCTCTAATGCTCTCGACTTTCGAAGTCAAATCGTTTTATATCATATGTGAGTACAATATTTTTGACAATGGACTACTAATCTGATATTTTATCCTCGAGATTTTTGGTAAAACCAAGAAAAACAGTAAAAAGTTTAAGTAATCACTCCGAAACAATGTCTCACAGGATTTGTCATATCCGACTTCCCTAAACTGGTACTAAATCTCTTAAGATGTGAGAATATTCGCTTGAGATTTTTTATTAATACAAAGATTTGGGTCGAAAGAAGTGATATTTTTCTCGTCTCACATCCAGTTTTAGGACTTTCCAGGTATATAATGTCTCAAAATAATGCTATTTTGTTTTCTATATTCTGTATACAATGATGTTTGTCCGTAAATGAGCTTTTTCAATGGTATACAACCAGCTAAAATATTTAGTATTATATTATAACTTTTACACAATTATGATTTAATAATTGTTTAAAGTAATAGTATGCTAATCTAACTACCTGATGTATAAATATTTCTCGAAAAGAAAATAATAAAATAATGTCGGGTATTATTTTGTGAAAAATGTTATACACGAAGATTTGTTCTTATTACATATATAAGATTCACTGCATTATTTTCATATAAAAATAAACATATTCAAAGAATTTTATATTTTCTCTTCAAATATAATTACAAAAATAATTTTGATTCCTAAGTTTTTTGTCAATTTAAACTTTGTATGCATATTGAAATGCATAAAATAGTAATTATTATAATAAAATGAACAAAAACGTTTCTATTTGTAAACTATTTCCGAAGTCTTAATAAATCGTTAGATATGTTAACAACACAATAGAGAACACATTTTTGTCAAGTATTATGTTTCAAAGTTGTCGGAGTTGTGGAGTTGTTAAGTGGATATAACTCCTCTCTGATCGGAGTCAAATCCTAGCCGATCCGGCTTCGGATATGATAAGCCCACATCTATGATCAACCATTACTTCCACCAATAATTTGATAAATTTGTTCTTCAAATTCTTCCTTGATGTAAAAATTTATTCACCAGTTGATATAAATAAATACCTCTCCATGCATTCGTGTAGTGCAGATGTATATATTTTCCTTGCACGCGTGCAATACAAAGCATAATAATAATAATAATATCGTCTGTAAGGTTTTACGATCAGCACGCAGTTGTGACATGTTCGGTCATAAAATTTATTTAAATGTTTGCAATAAATTGTATTCACAATATACCCTTCATACCAATAGTAGTAAATCTCGAGATAATTGGTAAACATCAAACGAACTTCCATTGCAATATGAAATGTTACATTATAGTCGACTTGTAATCAAATCGTATGTTATTTCTTCAACGAGAACAGTTTTGATTAATCGTAATTGTTTGTTTAATATGATCTGTATCAGTTTATAAATATTTTTTGCGGTGATTCAGTAACCCAGTGCCGCTTGTAGGTACTTTAATTAGGGCGCTAATTCTTTAAGAATTCTGACAGTTACATGGATAATCTATCATGTATTAGATATATTAATCTTGGATATTAATGATATTCAAACAATGTAACGTGAGTTCCAATAATATGATTACCACTTTAGCTTTTCTTATTATGAAGTCAACACTGAGATGTCCGGAGAGTAAATGATTTGATTGATCACATGCAACTAAATTAAAGAATATAAATTACAAATCTGACAAGATTCTGATTGACAACTTTAAAATTAATTGGTAGTATTATTATATTCTTCCGCTCCATAATCTTGAATATCGAAAAATTTATCACATTCTAAATAAATTAACCTTTTTTTACCTTTAAAAAGCGAGGAAAAGGGTTTTCTCCATGTATCTTTGTGTGTATCTCTAACTATATGAGATCTTAAGACCGCGACACTTTGACAAACTTTAACACTTTTATTAGTAATTAGTTCGCATAGTAAGTTAAAGTTTGATTATTAACTTCCCGAAGGAGAAGTTTATGTTTTCATAAAAAAATCCGATTCGCTAATATTATGTTTTCTCGACGTTTCAAGCCATTCTGAATCGATTGAGACCAAATTTGGAAAAAGTATGTGTGTGTGTGCGTGTGCATCAACAGATTTCGTAAAAACGACTGGACCGATTTCAAAAATTTAAAAGCCATTCTACGTATCTCGATGAGGATTATCGTTTCCCAGTTTTGTGCGACGATCGGCCGAGCCGTTTCTTTGTAATTTGGAAAAAAGTGTTAAACCTTTCGTCCACAATTAAGCTCATACTATCGAACCGATTTTAACAAATCAAAAACTGTTCAAAAGATATTAGTTGGGAATGAGACTAATTAGTTTTAGGTGAAAGTTTACAGAGCCGTCTTTTTGTAATTACCTGTTGAAAAAAAATTGAAACGATTTTCATGGAACTTTTTTTGGCGATATATATCATGGTCTTATAGAACTTACTGAAATATAACGGCCTTTACGACAAGTAGTTTAATTTTAAAAATTCATCAAAGTTTGAGAATTTGAGTAGTTCTTTTCACATTTGTTAAAATTAGAAGTAGACGATTTACTTGATATAACGATAAATGCTTGGTTTTTGAATTTGTCTAACAATTAAAGTCCTACAAAAAACTGTCTCAATTATTAAAATTATTGATTTTTGAAAATTTGCTTTTAAAAAATACTCCGACCGGGTTGACGTGTTTGATTTCCAATAATGTGTAATAAATCCACTTCGAATACTTTAACTACTCATAAATTAATTTATCTATCATGAATTAAGTCGATTATTTACACAAATCGGGAAGTTCATGTAACTTGCCTCAAGGCAAAATACCAATACCAACTAGTTTTGTTAAAGCTATTTTTGGATAATTTTATGGAACGAAAATGATAAAGTGAATGATATTATTCACAAAAGTCATTCCAATTGGATTTGGAATGACTACTACGCGGATATCAAAATATCACCATGACTAACTTAAGAGTCTTACAAATCAATAATGATATCTTCAAAAAAATATTATCGTAGAACTCTAATTTCTATTTATCTAAATGGTTATATGTTATTATAGGCAATATTATTCTATACTCCGCGATGGCTGTGGAAGTCCTGGGAAGGCGGCAAGATAAACGCATTGATGATGGATTTGGATGTGGGTATTTGCAGCGAAATTGAAAAGAAGCAAAAGAAAAAGCTTTTACTAGACTATTTATGGGACAATCTGAGGTACCATAACTGGTGGGCATATCGTTATTACATTTGCGAACTACTATCTCTGATAAACGTAGTAGGTAAGTAACGAAGATAGATTATTTTATAACATTATTCTAACACACACACACACACAAACTTTATACTTTACTCATTCACGTCCACACTTTGCCGTGATTTTATTTTAAGTTAAAAGGTTGAACAAAGATGTGTATTTGTTACATTTAGTTTAACGTTACTACTATCTGTTCAACAATTTACCTATTCAACAATTTGTCTACGTATTTACCTATCAACTTGCTAATCAATCTACCATTTTACCGGCTTACCAATTTACCTGTCAATCTATTTATCTACCGACCTGTTTACCAATACACCATTTTACCTGTCAACCAATTTACCTGCTTTCCAATTTACCTGTCGTCCGGTTCTAGATGTCTACCAATTAACCTGTTGAACAATTTACCTGTTTAACAATTTGTCTACTAATTTATCTATCAACCTGTCTATCAATCTACCATTTTACCGACCTACAAATTTACCTGTCATCCCGTTCAACATGTCTACTAATCAACCTGTTAACTTGTTTATTTATCTATTTGTTTGTCTATCTACCAGCTCTCCTCTCTACCATTTTACATATCATCCAATTTACCTGTCAACCAGTTTACCTATATAAATTCTCTAATTCACCCTATTTATTTTCGCATTATAAAAAATAATGCTCAAATTGATTATACATTTTAGTTAGAAAACGTTTGTATGTGAAAAAGAAAAGGGCTGGTTTTAGGGTTTTCCAGGTAATTATTGGATTTTGTCTCGCCGTAAGAACCATTCTTGGACTTCAACAATCATTTTAAAATAAGAATTGAACAAATTGGTCCAGGCGTTGTTGAGTTATGCGCTTACCAACACATTTTGCGATTCATTTTCATATAATAGATCAATTGGCAGTTTTAGAATTTTTAATTATTGATTGATGAATAGACTAATTTTGAATATCTTTCCAGGTCAGATGTTTTTGATGAACCGTTTTTTCGACGGCGAATTCATGTCATTTGGACTTGATGTCATAAAGCACCTCGAGTCTGATCAAGAAGAGCGAATGGATCCAATGATCTATATTTTCCCCCGAATGACAAAATGCACATTCTTCAAATTTGGTGTGAGCGGAGAAGTTGAAAAACACGATGCCATCTGTATTCTTCCCCTAAACGTAGTCAACGAAAAAATTTACGTTTTCTTATGGTTTTGGTTTATTATTCTGTCAATCCTAACATTTCTTACATTAATCTATCGAGTAGTGATAATATTTTCTCCAAGAATGAGAGTTTATTTGCTCCGCATGAGGTTTAGACTGATCAAACGTGATGCCGTAGAAGTCATCGTGAGGAGGTCGAAAATGGGAGACTGGTTTCTCCTGTACATGTTAGGAGAGAACGTTGATTCGGTGATATTTCGAGATGTTATGCAAGAGTTGGCAATCAGATTAGGCCAAGATCAACATCACCACGTGCCTGGTGTCAAAGGAGAGATCCAGGAAGCGTGACCAGAGCCAATCCCGCGTCCAGCTTGGAGGGACGCGGAGGCTGGAAAGACTAATTTTAAAAATGTTTGAGAAACGTATGGTTAACTCTATTATTGTACAACCGTAGACAACTTTTACAAAAAATATTTTGTACAGTCAAAATGTATAAAAGAAGGATGCATCATGCATCTGATACATTGATAGAGTTTGCACTAAACATATACTGTCATATATGAAAAATGTGCCAAAATGTGGAGTATTTGGATATAAAGTGCCATAGTAAAATTATGCAAATATACGATGTATGTATAAGTCCATTTATCCATGAACCAATTTTATATGAAATACCTTTTTCATATAATCATGAATTATGAAAAATAAATCAAATTTAACGATGACGGATTACAAGGTGACGAACGAATCATACAAAATTGACAAAATTGAGTACACATTCACGCCTTTTTTATATTTCTAATTGATTACAATTATTAATAAGCGCGTAATATATATTTAGGTCCAAAAAATAGCAACAAGTGCATTATATATTGTGCCTATTTAAAAAAACGAAGGCGTATAAGCAAATCAATATTTAGAAAAGTTAACAAAATACTGCCAAATTTCAAATATTGTAAATTATAAAAATAGTTTGATGACGAAATAATGAGAAGTATTTATAAGTTTATATAATATTAAATATGGTCTCAAATTTATATAATATTTAAATAATTAGTCAATATGTTAATGTAATTAATAAGAATTATGGAAACAATTGTCAATGAATGCTAATTTGTGTTATTATTATCTTACATTAATGAAAAATTAAAAACAATCCGGTTTTCTATAGCAATGAATATAGATTTTCAATATAAAAATCAACTTATTAGTTGGAAAACCCTATTGTTATGTATTGTCCCCGAACTATTTCTAATATTTTTTTGAAACAATTAAACTGTTTTAGCTAAATTGCTAATCAAGTACAATTAGTGATTGATATACTTTTAAATTAAAAATCTAGAACAATTCTACTTTATAGAATAAAAATAGAACCACAATAGAGAGTTATTTGTAGGAAATCTGAAATGACAGCATAATTTCAATACAACGTTTATAATTGGATTAATCAATTTGAATCTAATATTTATATTGTCAATTAAATAATATAATCAAATTAGCATTCACTATATAAAATAGTATTAATTAGAAAATGATTAAGATATGATTTTTGATAAAAAGTTAAATTTAAAGACAATACTAGAATTAAGTTTATTGTTAAGGAGTAGAAACGGAATATTGGAAATAAATTTAGCATATTAAAATATATCGAAATGTATGTTGAGTGTGTATCTAGTTATACTTATAAAGAATCTATGTCGATAACCAAAGAAATAAATATTTTAAAATATGATTTTGTCGATTTATTAAAAAAACTTTTACTTTCTGGTAAATGTATGCCATATCTTTTTTTGTTTATCTATATGATATGCGCACTATAAAATGCAAGTCTATTGTAATATTGCCATGGATAATAAATAATAAATAAATAAATATATAAATAATGAAAGATGATCATATAATCCAATAATGAATGGAACATTGATTTATGTCATTGGAAATATATGCAACAAATTCTGGAAATTTGTTCAACTAAATTTTAATAATATTGAATTTGCTGAAACCATTATTCTAATTATTCTTTTATTATTATTAAATTGCGCCACACAGATTATGGAATTTAATTAACTATATATTGTTTATATAATTTGATGTCAAACAATAAATTATCATTTTCTATGACATTTTAGTGAAAGGTAACGTGGAAAAAGACGAACAAATCTGTCAAATGTGATAATTGAAAAATACAATTCATAAACCCCAGGCTATGAAAAATTGTATATCAAAAGTTCAATTATAATTTCAATTAACGTGTATATGCTATCCTGTTTTTGAGGCAAATATTAGTTAGATACAGAAATTATAAAACAAGGAAAATAAATGTTACCATTCTGCATATGACAAAAACTCCCTATGGCAAATTGAACTTACTTTATATAAAAATAATTATTTAATTAAATTTAAGATATATATATATATATATATATATATATATACATATACATACATTATAATTTTCAGGCATGGCAACAAAACTTAATATATATTAGGTAGATAACGATCAAACCTATTGAAGCTAAATTTAAATATACAGGTATTCATATTTACTTAAGTGGAATGAATAGCTTATAGATCCTATTAAAAAACAATAACCAATTAATAAACTACGCAATAAAAAATAATTGAATGAAAAATATAATACAGATTAATCTAAAGAAAAATCCTATCCCCTTTACTCCTGATAATGGACTATAAGTCCTTTTTTGTATTGCATTAATATTATTAAATGCCAGTGTTTTTTCTATAGAAAGCAGATAATCTTCATTTGATAACATTTCATGTTTTTTAAAAGTAATCTCAACATCTTAATTGACTTTAGTAGTTTTATGTCACATCCATCTAAATCTATTTTGGTTTTGGTGTTCTCAGGTTCTATTTCGACAATTGTTCATCAAGAAAAGATCATTTGTGTTGGCTCAGACATTTTAAGTATTTCTGACAATTTCCCCTCATTCTCCTAGGAGTGCTCATTAATCGTTGAGCCATCAAATGAATTACAAAGAATAAATGTTTTGAAAACGTTTAGATGACTTTAATTGTGCTGGTAAATTTATTTCTATTGTATTTTGAAACAGATGTTTGAAAGACGTGTAATCATTAGATTTTTAAGGGAATTTTGAGTTATGCACAACTTTTGAGATAACCCAAGTTTTTTTGAGTATTTTATTACTATTTCTAACTTTTTGTCCGATAATATGGTGATACACGAAATATTAAAGTAAGCATGCACGCTAATATAAATAAATTGCATAAAACGAATAAAGATTTCGTTTTTTCATATCGTTGTCAAATCTAACACTACAATTTTTCCCAAACAACTTTTATACAAAAAAGAATATGTCTAGTATGCTTCACTGTTTATCATTTTTTAAGTTTTAAATAATTAATTTAGAATGTAATGCTACAATACTTTACTGGATCTCTGAAAACATTTACATTTTATGTAGTGATTTAATTTTTTTATTTTTTGAAGAATTTCAATTGTCAGATTTCAAAATTGTATAAAAATATAAATATTTCACAGATTCTTGATTATTTAAAACAAAGTTATTTAACAAAAATATTTAAGTATTTTTTATGAAAATATCCAATGAGCTGATTTTGGAAAAAAAATAAAGTCGTGGAAAATTGAAATTAAAAAAAAAAACAATATAATTAATTTAGGAATAAAATTAAATAATATAATACAATAATCAAATACTGTTTGATATTTATATGCGCCTCTTCTTAGGCAAACTTTACACAAGAAGGCGTCATTAGTTGCGGCTGAAAATGTTTTATGTCTCTATATTTAAACTATAAGATCTTCTGTTTAGTTATTATCCTATTATTATAATATATTATATATTACAATTAAAAAACTAAAATAATTAAGACTTGCTAAAATAAATAGATTGAACTTTTTATATATATTATATATTTTGTATATTAGAAAAAGTGCCAAAATATTATTTGATATCCAAAAAAATATATTTAATTTTTTATAATTAATTAAATTAAATTTGAAATTCAATTCAGAAAAGTAGCAGTCATTTTTTCACTTTTGTAATTTACCTATTAAACTATTTTAATTGATTATGAACGATTATCATAAATTTTGATGTGTATTTTTCTCACATCACTATAACATACAATTGATTACCTTATATTTAAATTTTAATTTTAATAAGTAAAGTTAATAATAATAACTGAGAATTATGTACAGATCAAAAAAGAGTTTAGAAAAATTGAAAATCTTCAAACAGAATTTGAAAAAAAATCCTTCTTATTTCACTTATTTATACGAGAAGTTCAAAAGTTGCCTTGGAGCCTATAAATTATTTATATCGTGTGTTTGTATTTTAATTTTCATATTTAACATTATATAAACTATATTTTATGTCTTTTGTACAGTTCTATTAATTTATCTGATTGATTATATGATATATAAAACATAAAAAAACAACAGTAATGGAATAAACCGAATATTGAAGTGGTTCTTCTATTGATAGTAATAAACTTATATTATTTTAATTTAATTGCATTCTCCACGCGTATCATATAAAAACGGAATATTCAATTTATTTAAAATAACAAAAAATATGCAGTATATATATATATATATATATATATATATTTATATGAGGCGCTTCTTCAATTTTATGGCCATGTTGCCAATGCAAATATCATCATGCACCAGTATTGTCAATGTTTAACGACGAAGATTACTATTCAGTGCATGCACTCTGCAAAATTCAAGAATTCCGCAATAAATGTTAATCTGTTTTTAATTAAATTACATTATATCCCTTGAATAAATGTAAAACTTATTAATTTCCTAAAGTTTGTGTTCATCAAAAAATTCGGTTCGCTAATTTTATGTTTTCTCGACGTTTCAACACATCGAAAAGAACCAAATTTAAAAAAAGTATGTGTGTGTGTATGTGAACAGATTTTTTTGAAATTGGTGTTCTTAGTTCATTTAAAAATCAGCTTGGTACCAAATGGTAAAAACAGTACATGCATACCATTTTTATACCTTCTTTCTGGCTGAATAAATAATTCTATATTTTTAAATCTATAGTAACTTGAATTATTGACATAAAAAAATGTATCTATTTTTTGTACTACTTATTAATTTAAAAAATCCTTAATGTGAAAGAAACTCTTTAATGCGATAAAAGCTCTAAATGTGATGACTAATTCCTTGAACTTTTGCTCATTGTTAATCAGACTAGTGCATTTTAATCCTTAATAAATTTAATTAAGATTATCTATATATATATATATATATATATATATATATATTAGGGTGGTCCTTAACATGGACATTTTCGAATTTCCTTGCTCCCAAAGGCTCAAATGGTTCC